CCCCCCCCCGCACACTTTGAATTTCCTCCACAAAGTGTCTGATCACCTCCTCCCCACCACACCACATCCTCCCCTCCACACACCACACCAGTACACACACACACACACACACACAGGCACACTATGTTATGCCATACCATGGCCATACCCCCTCCCATGCTCAGACTCACACCCGAATGACACGCTCCCTATCCCCCTCCCCCTCCCGTCGCTGTCTGATGTCGCCATCCCTTCCGTCCGTCAACACGCCCGCCACCCACCCACCCACCCACCGCCAACCCTACGACTCCCTCGGTCTTCCGCCCCTCATACCGCTGTGTGTGCGGGAAAAGACAGCACTCCACGAGAATGCAGATTTTTGTCAAGTTCCAGGGCAAGTCCACCGCTGTGGACGTGACTGCCGCGTCTGTTGACGAGTTCCGCGCCGATGTGGCCGCCCGCACTGGCGTCCCGGCCGCCGAGCAGGTCCTTGCCTTCAATGGCAAGCTCCTCTCGGAGCTGTCTGCTCTCGAGCACGGTGACACCATCAACATGAACCTCCGCCTCGCCGGTGGTGCCAAGAAGCGCAAGAAGAAGGTGTACACCACGCCCAAGAAGGTCAAGCACCAGAAGAAGAAGGTCAAGCTTGCCGTCCTCGCCTACTACCAGGTCGACAACAACGGCAAGATCACCCGTCTTCGTCGTGAGTGCCCCGACTGCGACGCCGGTGTCTTCATGGCCACCCACTTTGACCGCCAGTACTGCGGCAAGTGCGGCCTGACCTACGTCTTTGACCAGCAGCAGTAAAGGTCTAACCGTCTGTCGCCACCTCGCCCCCCCCCCCCCCTATACCCATGCCCGATCCCTCCACCCTTCCCTCTGCCCGCCTCTCCCCTGCCGCCCGCAACTCGTCATGTGACCCCACCCCTCCCCCCGCCACCCCGCCCTCCACCACCACCACCACCCCACACACACACACGTAAAGATGAAGACCGCGTCGTCGGACACTGCCGTCCGGGTCGTCGTCCGCATCCGCCCACTCAACCGCCGCGAGCTCAGAGACGGCGGTGCAGGCCCTGCATGGCTCCATGCCTCGCCCGAGTCGGCCACCGTCACTGCCAGCGCGCCCTCGTCCGCCGCTGCCACTCCCGCCACTCCCGCCACTCCCGCCACTCCCGCCACTCCCGCCACCGCCCGCACCGCCCGCACTGCCCGTAGCGGGCCATCGTCGACATCGTCCACTCCTAGCAACAGCCGCGTCTTTGCCTTTGACGCCGTCTTTGATGGCCGCCACCCGCCGCCGGTCGCTGATGCTGATGCCGATGCCGATGCCACCGATGCTGCTGCTACCGCCCCGCCGCCGTCGCCGGCTGCCACCGCCCAGGCCACCCTCTATAACGCTGTCGGCGCGCCGCTGGTCGATGAGGTCATGGCAGGATACAACGCCTCGGTCTTTGCGTACGGACAGACCGGCTCGGGCAAGTCGCACACAATGGTGGGCTCGCCACGCGCGCCGGGCTTCATCCCGCGGCTGTGCAAGGATCTTTTTGCTGCGACGGCGGCAGCAGGCGCGGTGGCCGACGACGACGGCGCAGAGTACGAGGCTGATGTCACGCTCTCGCTCCTCGAGCTGTACAACGAGCAGATCCGCGATCTGCTTGCCGACGAGGCCGGCAACGCCACGCCCGCCCGGCTCGCACGTACCCCGCTCCGCCTCCGTGAGCACCCGATCCACGGCACGTTTGTCGAGGGCCTGACGGCCAAGGCCGTTGGCTGCTACGCCGACGTCGCCACACTCATCGACGCCGGCCTCCGCCACCGCATCACTGCGGCCACCGGCATGAACGCCACCTCGTCGCGCTCGCACGCCGTCGTCACCCTCACCGTGGTGCAGAAGACTCGTCGTGCTGGCGACGAGCCGCCGCTCCTGCTCAAGTCGCGGGTCCATCTGGTCGACCTCGCCGGCTCAGAGCGAGTGGCCTCGACCCACGCCGCAGGTCTCCGCCTCCGCGAGGCTGGCGCCATCAACAAGTCGCTCCACATGCTCGGCCGGGTCATCACCGAGCTCTCCGACGGCGCCGCCTTTGTGCCGTACCGCGACTCGGTCCTCACTCGCCTCCTCCGCGACGCGCTCGGCGGCAACGCCAAGACCCTTATGATCGCCACGGTCTCGCCGGCGCCGGCCTCGGCCGACGAGACCCTCTCCACCCTCCGCTACGCGCAGCGTGCCAAGCGGATTGTCAACTCGGCAGTGGTCAACGAGGATCCGGCCGCAGCGCTCATCCGCGATCTCCGCGCCCGGGTGGCCCAGCTAGAGGCTGCTGTCGCCGCCGGCGGCCTTGACGCCTCAGCTCTCGACGCGCTCACTGCCGAGCGCGATGCCGCGCTTGCCGCCGCCGCCATTCGCGAGCGTGACGCCGCCGCGCTTGAGGCCCGCGTCGCCGAGCTCCAGCGCCAGGTCGATGCTGCCGAGGACGCCACCGCTGCCGCCGTCGACGCCGTCCGCGCCGCCATGGCCGACGCCCTCACCGCCGCCGAGGACCTCGCCGCCGAGAAGGAACAGATTGCGTCAGACGAGCCGCTCAAGCGCCTCAAGCTTGTCAAGCTCGTCAAGCTCGAGCGCGCCAAGGCTGCCAAGGCCGCCAAGGCCGCCAAGCGCCGCATCGAGGAGCTAGCCGCCGCCGTCGCCGCCGAGCGGGCGGCCTGCCTAGACGCCACCGCTGTCGCAGACCGCGCCGCAGACCTCGACCTCGTTGTCGAGGAGCAAGCTGCCCGTCTCGAGTGGCTCGAGCAGCGGCTGGCTGCCGAGTCTACTGCCCGCGCTACCGCCGAGGCTGCCGCCGCCGCCGCCGCCGCCGACCGCGACGCCGCCGCCGCCGCCCGTGACGCTGCCGCCGCCCGCGTGGCCGAGATGGAGAGCATCCTTGACGAGCAACGAGACCACGACCTCGGGTACTGGGTCGACACTGCGCTGGTCGGTGCCCGGACCGCGCTCCGCGCGCCAGTGCCCAGCGCTGAGCGGCTTGCGCGCGACGCACCGCCGGACATTGCGGCTGACCTGGCGGCGGCCGAAGAGACCAATGATGCCGCCGCGCTGCAAGCCGCCGGTGCCGCCGTCGTCCGCCGGCTGGAGGCTGTTGCGCTCACGCTCCGGCAGAGCGAGGTCGACGCCGCCGACGCCCGCCGCCGGAGCCAGTTCCTCGAGGACGAGCAAAAGCTCATCCGCGTCCTTGTCAACCTCAAGGCATCAATGGCGGCGCTTGCCGCGCCCACGCTCGCTGATCTGGACTCGTTTATCGTCACCGCCCGCCAGCTCCGCGGCGCCGCCAACGTCGCCGGTGACATGGAATGGCTCGCTTCGCACGCCGACCTTCTCACCGCCGACCTCGTCGCCGACCTTGTGGTCGAGAACGCTCTCCTCCTCAAGCAGCTCCACGTCGCCCTCCGCCCCGCAGGCTCGTCATCAGCTTGAGCTGTCGCTCGAGCTCGCACTCGAGCCCGACGTCGACGACAGCTCGGCGCCGGCCTCGAGCATCATGGCCATAAAGATGCGGAACTCGAGCTTGTCGATTGTTCCGTCGCTGTTGACGTCGATCACCTCCCAGAGGCCCGAGAACTCGTCGTCGGTCAGGTCTGGGATCTCGAACCGCCGGCAGACATCGGCCGACGCGGCCTTGATGTCGTCACGCGTCAGCGCGCCGGCCTTTTCTTCTTGTCATACCTGCGGAACGCCTTGTCACAGGCCTTTTCCAGCCGCGCCTGGTCGGCCAGGATCTTCCGGGCCTGAGAGCCGCGATGGATGTGGTCCGAGCTACCGGTCGAGCTCGTGCTCGAAGCCGAGGCTGAGGCTGCGTCCGATGACGTGTCTGCTTTCGACGACGCCGTCTGTGACGCTGACGACGTGCCTGTGCTCGTGCTGGTTCCCGTGCCCGTGCTCGTGCCCGTTTCTGACGTCGACGCCGACGAATACGAGTGCGAGAGCGCGATGCCGGCCTCGAGGGCGTGGCGGACGAGGACCCGGAACTCGGTCTGGTCGACAAAGCCCGAGCCGTCGGCATCAATGTCCTTAAAGTAGTCATCAAAGTCAGCGTCAGTCAGCGTGTCGATGCCAACTTGCACAAAGATAGCATCGACTGCCACACGGACCTCGTCCTTGTCCAGCTCGCCCGAGCCATCCGTATCCGCCCGCCGATACGCCTTGCGACACGCCCGATTGAACTTTTTCGGATCTGTCCGTCGACACACACACACACACACACACACATGCATGCATGTATGCACATCCATACCCGGTCCGCGTCAGTGAGTCGCCACATCTTCCTCCCAAAAAAACCCCCCCAAAACACACACATTTTCCATTTGCATGCCCCGCCACCGCCACAGCCTTCCACCCACGGTTGGTCCTCCCTCACCCGCCGACGACGGACGGCGACAGCAGCCGCAGCCACCGCAGCCGCCACAGCAAGCACAGCAAGCGTACCGTTAAGAATGGTATCCGGGTCGGTGAGCGTCACCCGCACCCGCTTGTCCTTGCCCTTGCCCTTGCCAGAACCCATGTGCTCTTCAACGAGATCGTATCGTCTGCCTGCTGCTTGGTTGCCTCGTCCGAGTGCAGTGCAGTGGCCACAGCCATCGACTGGCCACAGCCATCGACTGGTCACAGCCATCGACTGGCCACAGCCATCCACTGGTGACAGCCATCCACTGGTCACAGCCATCGACTGGCCACAGCCATCCACTGGTGACAGCCATCCACTGGTGACAGCCATCGACTGGCCACAGCCATCGACTGGCCACAGCCATCCACTGGTGACAGCCATCCACTGGTCACAGCCATCGACTGGCCACAGCCATCCACTGGTCACAGCCATCCACTGGTCACAGCCATCCACTGGTCACAGCCATCCATCCCCACCCCATCCATCCCCACCCCATCCATCCCCACCCCATCCCACAGTGAGTCCCCTTCCCCCATCCGCCCGTGGTGTCGGGGTGTGTCTCCTATGTTTTGTGATCATTCCTGTTTCTCCCGGCACAGCCGCCCCTATCTCCGGCCCTATCCCGCCCCCACCACGCCCATCGAGCGCCAACTGCACAGCCTGCACCACACATGTCACCCATCCACCCCCCCAATCATACATGCTGCCTGTCCCCATCTTCGTGCCCTGCCCTCTTCGCTGACCTGGTCTGCTGCGGCTGTGGCTGCGGCCCGCAACGGACTCGGCTCAAACGGACTCGGCTCAAACGGCGCCGGCATGGCTCTCTCGAGCGAGGGCCGACGGCTAGAGGCACACGTGTCTCTGACAGACCGGAAACGGGTGTATGGAGAGCTCGGCGACATACTTACTGGGCGTCCACTCGGTGATGCTGCAAGGGGGGCAGAGCCCGCCGGATTGGTCTCGCCGCGCCGCCAGACTGCCCCGGACGTCGACGCCTTGTTCTCCGCCCTGCTCGCCGCGCCGGCATCGCCGGGCTTGAGGGCCAAAGCCGCGCTCTCGATCCCGCTGCATCGTGCAGGGGGCTGGCTGCAGCCGCGACTGCGGACAGAGCTTCCAAGGGTGCGACTGGATGACGATCTGAGCCGGGAGATGGCCGGCGAGCGCCGGCTGCCTCGCCCGGATCCTCGCGGCGGTGCGGAGACCAGAATGCGGCGCGATCGGCCAGACGACGCTGAGGTCGAAGCAGCGGATGCGAGTGTGGGAAAGGATAGCGACACGCTTGAGCCGCTGAGGGCTGGAAATGTGGCCGCAGTTCGACCCGTTGTTTCGGATCGGGCGGCGGCGGCGCGGCAGCGGCGGCTGCAGATCAAGGCTGCGCTGGGAACGAGAGCGGCCAAGGTAATGCTTGTGCCGGCCGAGGGCGGGATCGATCGGCTGATGGCGGCTCTGCGGGCGGGCTTTGCGCGGTTTGACGTCGATTGGAAGACGGCGTTGGTGGAGTACCGCGACGGCACCGGCGACTACATCGTGCTGGACAACGACGACGACTGGGCGGTGGTTTTGGCCTCGCCGGCGCTGGCGGCCGGCGGAGATGTGCTCAATCTGTGGATCTCAGCGAATGGCGTCTCGCGCAACGCGCTGGCTGCCGAGCTAGTCAACAGCTGGGAGGAGGAGACAAGCAACGCGGCGCCGCTGACGGTGCCCGGCTCGTATCTGGCGCAGGATCCGTACGCGGCGCTCTCACGCTACTCGCTTGCCTCGCCCGGGCTCAGTCCGATCTCGTCGCGGCGGAGCTCAACCTCGTCGTCATCAACTGTGTCATCGTCCAGTGTGTCGTCGTCAATCGCGTCGTCGTCATCGGCTTCCTCCTCGCTCTCTTCATACGCCATCTCGTACATCCCGTTTGTCAGCAGCGGGCGGTGATGATGAACAAACGGAGAGAGCAGGAGAGAGAGAGAGAGAGAGTATGTGCCGATGTGTTCAATACGTGTGTGCGTGCGTGAGTGTGTGTGTGTGTGTGTGTGTGTGTAGGTGTGTGTGTGCGTGGCATGTGCACGCGCATCGGCAGAGGGGCGAGCTCGATCACTTGAGCTGGGGCTTGGCCTCATCGCTGTCGACCTCGACCTCGACGGTCGCGCCCTGGTAGACACTGACAGTGACGGTGGTACCGCTCGAGTCGTGGCCGGGGGTAAAGTGGACGACGTTGGGCGGGATGGCGACGGGGGTGAACGTTGAGGCGCCGACGGTGGGCACGTTCCAGTTAAAGTAGATCTGCGGGCCACCGGTAGCGACCGAGTAGACAAAGTTGCCGCTTGTGGCGGCGAGGAAGCCGCCATCAGTGGCAAAGGACGACTGGTAGCCCGGGGCGATGGTCTTGGCCGGCTGGAGGACCCACTTGCCGGCGGTCACGTTGAGGTGGTTGAGCGTCATGGGGTACGCCGTGTAGTTGATGATGGTTCCAGAGAGCGAGTATCCGTTGGCCAAGGTCACTGCCGTGGCTGCAAGCACGGCTGCGACGAGGAGGGTCTGCAGGGTGGGGTGGGAGTGGGCAAGGCGGTGAGGTAGGTGGGTGCGGGGAAGGGGGAAGGGGGAAGGGGGAAGGGGGAAGCGTTGCGCCGTACATGCATGGTGTGGGTGGGTGTTGGAGTGGGGTGCTGGTGCTGGTGCCAGTGGTGTGGTCGCCCAGTGGAGGATGTCATCGCGCTGTTCACGTGCGGCGGCGGCACCTTGTTCGCACATGCGACAAGGCCGGGGACGGGCAGAGAGACGGGCATTGGTGAAAATTCTTCATTGTTGGAGCAAAAGAAGCTGCGATTAGGCGTAGCCGGCAGGGGCCTTGGCGCCACCGCCCATGCCCGAGAACATGGAGCGGTGGGTGGCGACGTAGGCGGCACCGCCACCGACGACGACGACACCACCGACCGAGGCACCAGCGATGAGGGCGATCTTGCCAGCGTCGAGCGAAGGCGAGGCGCTGTTGTCGTTGCTGACCTCAATGCGGCCCTTGTGGGAGCGGTTGGAGAAGTCGTTGTTGCGGGTGGCCATGAACTCGTAGGTCGCCGGCGAGCTGTAGCGCATGAGGCCGAGGTCCTGGTAGGGGTTGGCCTCGTTCTGCTGGTCGTTGTTGAGCGAGTAGGTCGACCAGTGGATGACCATGTCGTACGCAGCGTTGTTGTTGATCGGCTGGTTGAACATGGTGATGTTCTCGGCGTACGCCGGGTAGTTGCCGGCCGACGTCTTGACCGCGCCCTCGGCGGGCTTGGCAAGCTCAACAAAGTTGGAGCGGTCCGTCTCGTCGGCGCCGTTGCCGGCACCGTCGGGCGTGGTGTTCGAGCCGGTCACCTGGCGGTGAATAAAGGTCGAGGTTGTGGCGCGCACAATGGTCGGCACGTAGTCGTACTCAACCGACGGGTAGTTCTGGACAATGTTGCCGCGCTGGCCCATGACGTTGAGGTTGATGATGCGGCCCTCGACCGGCGACGGCTTGACGATGAACGTCGACGAGCGGTCCTGGAAGGTCCGGCCCATCTGGTCCGTCGAGATCCGGAGCTTGAGGAGGATGTCGGTGCCATCGGAGCCGACGTTGACCGTCGGGTCGCCCTGCCACGCGTAGTTGTCCTCGTTGTCGTTCATGTCGGCGTACGTGTTCCAGCCGTCGTAGTCCATCGTGGTGATGTTGTACCGCATGCGGAAGACGCAGACCTGCTCGCGCGAGACGGCGGGCAGGCGCCACACGTAGCGGTTCTGCCACCCGTCGTCGCCGTTGCCGAGGTGGTTGATCCGCGACTTGATCATGGTGTCCGGGAAGCAGGCCGGCGCGGGAAGGCCCCAGGCCGGCGCCTCAACCCACTCAAACTCGGCAATAGCCTCGCACTCAGCCTGGTTGTTGATCGCCGAGCCCGAGGTGATCGGGTTGCCGGGCGTCTCCTCGCGAAGACCGGTGCAGTAGTGCTTGCCCTTGACGTTCTGCGACTCGGCGCGGTACATCGGGCAGAGCTCGTCCGAGCGCGAGGTGAAGATCGCGACATCCTTCCACGGCGACGGATGCCAGTACGGGTAGTAGTCGCGCTCCTCCGGGCACTCGTAGCCACGGCGGCGGTTGTTGGCGTTCTCGTCGTTGTTCTGGCGAGTCCGCATCGCAGTCGCATCCTCGGGGATGTTCTGGTCGGCGAGGAAGAGGCCAAGGTTGCGCTGGCGGGCCTTGCAGTCCGCCCAGTACGACGCCGACTCGTGGCGACCGTACTTGTGGTCCTTGTCCTTGTTCTCCGGGATCCGGGTCTGCTGCTGCCCGTTACGGATGCCAATGCCGCCGTTGTTGTCCTCACACATGTACTGCATGATGATCTGGCACTCGGCCGCGGCGTCGCCGCACGAGTGCTGGTTGGTCCACTCCACCTGGAGCTCGGAGCCACCGTAGTACTCCATCTGGTTCATGTTGTACCCACCCTTGTTGTTGTTCTGCGAGTCGAACAGACGGTTCGCGTCGTTGCGGTTCCTGTTCTCTCAACCAAGCACTCGCTTCCTGTGAGTCGGACTCCCTGGCCCTTGCCACTACCAAAAAAATTCACCATCAGGCCCCTCCCCCACCCCGACTGGCAATGGTGCGGCAGGTCGCCGTCATGCGCCAAGCGGGCTGGGTACAGGCGCACAACACCGGTGGCAGCCCCTAACGCCATCTCCAACACTAGCCCCCTGCTCTGCACTGCTCCCACCCTCCCTGGGCGCCCTCCGGGCCAAGGGAGCCAATGTCGCCGCAATGTGCCGCCCGCGGAATAAAGGTGGCGGGACGACAAACGACCAGCAACCGGGCGAGACGGGGGCCAAAAAAAGGGGCCGCTCCCCCACCAGCCGCAGGGGCCCATGTACCGCTATGGGGCTCCCCAGGCGGTCTGACTCCGGTCACATCACACGCAAGGCCTTGCCATGCTCCCAAAGCACCGGGCGTGCCATGCCCCTCACCAGGGGGAAGATCCTTCTCGCCGAAGAAGCCGGTTCTGGGTTGGCCCATGGGCGGGCAAACAGAACACCCAAACCGACGAAGATTCACAGAAACAGCACTGTGCACGTGCCAACCTCCCCTCCGCACCCGGCCCACTACGGCCGGGCGACTTGCGACAACCCTACACGTACCGGTTGTCCTCATCGAGGCGGTTGTTGCTACCACGCGGGTTGTGCATGTAGAGGTCCGCGGACGCGCACGCAATGGTCAGGAGCAGAAAGGCTCCCACAAGCTGAAGCTTCATTCTTGATTTTTCAAGAGGAATGCCGTCCAATTCTGCGCCAACCGCCAACGTTCCATATTCTTCAACTCGTCGCCAATGCGCAACCAATCGGGCAAGTGGTTTGTTGCCACAATATCATTGGGTTTTTGACGACGACTCTGACGGAAAAAAATGTGCCCATTTCACGCCCCTCCCTCGAGCATACTCCCTCCTGCCCTGCCCTTCCCTTCCCTTACCTTACCTTGGCCTTCACTCTGTGTCTGTTGCGTGTTTGTGTGTATGCGGAGGACTACCCGCTGCCGTTATGCTGGTGGTCGTTGACAAGTCCACGGCTTGCCCTCTCCCTCTTCTCCGCGTTGCCTGCTGCTCCCCAACTGCTGACTTGCGTGCCAAGGCGAGGCTGTGCGCAAGCCTACCGACCGGCCTGTGCTTGGCCTTGTGACATGATCGAGATCGTCATTTATGTGTTTGTGGATGGGCCAGAGCGAGCAGGAGCAGGGCGCGGCTGAGCTGGGGAAAAAAAAGCGGCCCAAATTTGCTGCAGGCATAGGTAGTGTGTGACCTCATGTGGAGCCGTGAGTCACACGGTGGTTCGGGCGGCGGGGCGACAGCGACGACGACGACGGCGTTGGCTCGTGCCGGCGGCGTTCCAAGGCCGCCTGTGGGCGTGAGCGGGTATACTTGACGAGCCGGTGGGGGGAGGATGCACAACCACCGGCAGTTGCGGTGGCATTGGGCAGTTGTGTCTGCGGTGCTTGTTGTGGTTTACAGCGTGGTGGGCGTCTTTGGTGGCCTGTGCTTCGCCAAGCAGATGAAGCAGCGCGGGCACCTGTGGCAGCGACTCTTCTACCTCTTCCTCATGCTCGGATGTGGCGGGCGTGTGGTCTACTTTGGCATTCTCGAGTATATCACCGTTGCCGATGCCCGCATACCTACCTCTCTGCTCTTTGTGGCCAACACCGTCTCGCCCTTTCTCTTCTTCTCGGCCTTTCTCATCCTCCTCTTCCTCCTCGTCGAGATCTACCACGGCGAGCTTCGCCACGCCCGGCTCTTTGTCACCCTCAACGTGATGATGTACGCTACCTACGGTGCGTGCGTCATCACCAACTGCATCATTGCTCGCAACGACGGCTACAACGAGGACCGCCGGTCGACAAAGCTGGAGAACGCCGTCATTGTCTCGTCGGCGTCCATGTATCTCATCACTGCCGCCTGCTTTGCCGTCTACGGCGCACGCCTTCGTGTCGTCATCCGCAAGCTCGCCCTCAACAAGATCCGCACCCAGCTGCTCTTCAAGATCACGTCCATCGCCACTGTGGTGACCGTCTTCTTTGTCATTCGCTCGGGCTTTGTCCTCTACGCCATGATCCACCAGCACGTCAACCTCGACTGGTGGTTCGTCGGCCTCTACTACATCATTCTCGAGGCTACCCCCATGGTCTGTATGCTCTACATTCTCCGCCGCCACTCGCTCTCCAACCCGGGCTACGAGTCGTCGTCGGGCAAGCTCATCGTCAACCAGCGCGAGAAGCACCCCGCGTACCTTTCCCTCGCGCACACTGCTGCTCCGCCGCCCACACCACCCTCACCCTACATCTCCTACGCAGCATACACCGCTCGCGATCCCCTCCTTCCCTCTTCTGGCGGCGCCCTTCCGCCCGTCTCAAGCCATGCGCCCGGCCCGTCCGTCTCCCAACCTCTGCCCGCCCGCCCGCCTGCATCATCTGCTGCCGCCCGTCTGTCCACCGGCTCGGTGGAGAAGTGAACACCACATCAGTTCTCTGGCCCGACTCCTTCCCCCCCCCCCCCCCCCGACTGCTCTTTTCTGCCTGTCCGACCACAAGCTGCGGTGCGAGCCCCACATCTTGTTCGTGACCAGCCAGCTCCAGCCAGCCACTCTGCCCCCAGCCGCACCCACTGCCTGTATGAGCATTCGTCTCTTGGGACCCTTTGACTTGCAATACCTTTGACTTGCAACATGGTGGTGCATGGTGGAGCAGTGCTTCTCCTCATCACTCTGGTCGTCTCCCTCTGCCATGGCTATCCCACTGGTGCCGGCAACTGCTACACTCCCGGCTCGAGTCCGCACGGTACGGGTGGAGCAGGTGCGGGGGGAAGGGGGGGGGGGGGGGACT